TCAAGCTCCTGCCTCCTTGGCACCCCCTAAATGATGGACAGTGACCTGGAATTGTGAACTAAGTAAGTCCTTTCTCCCCATAAGCTGCTTTCCTCAGAGTGCTTTTAATCACAGCCACAGAAACGGATCTTCGGAGAGATGCCAACTTTCATCACATATTGCCCCATCTATCATCTATCTCTTAAATACACTCGTGATATTGTGGGTCACGTGAGACATTGTGCCTTGTCCTTTTCAAATCACGTAAAGCGCCTGGGGCAGAGAGAGAAACAAGCAACCTAGAGCCCTGGTCCTCACTGACCCCACCAGTTTCTGTGGGACACCTTATAATCCACCTAAGCCACAGGATTTGGGAAGCCTGCATCTAGTAAGCACAAAGGTATTTGTAAGATGGTAGGAGGCACCTTCCTGGAAGAGAGGGGAAATACAGACTTGTAGAACAAAGTTCTTTCTCAGTGAGTCTGTGTGCGTGTGTCCCTGCCCGGGGCTGGGGGGAGCAGTCGGGCGTGTCTCACCTGTCTTCCTCCTGCGTGGGAGGCACAGCTCCAGCCTGCTGTTGGATGCGGGCCAGTTCCTCATTCTGCCGAAGCTTCCTCTTGTCCCGGATGCTCAGACAGATGGACAGCAGCAGCAGCATCACGCCAGCGCCGACCAGCACATACGCCACTGAGAAAGTCTTGCTCTTGAGGATGCCACCACCTCCCTCTGTCTTGTTGCCCTGAGCTGTTGGCTTCTCTGCAGCGCTGAAACCAGGGACTAGGTTCCACATGGCCATGATCACCCCGAGGACCAGCATCCCCAGGCCGATGGCCGTCAGTGCGTAGTGTGAGCCGTTGGCCTTGGACTGGGCCATCATGGCCGCAGAAAGGGGCAAGACCCAGCTCAAAGAGAGAAAAATAAATTAAAAAAAAAAACAAAAAACAAAACAGTAGTAGCAACAGACACTCCTTCCTCGCACCGAAGAAACTCTCCTAAGCCACAGTAAAAAATCAGCAGCAGCAGACGCTCAAGCGATGGCTGTCTTCAAATGCCAGGCATCTGGGGTGGACCGGGCTGATGAGAGGTCTGAGAGGAGACAGAGAATGGGAGGTTATCACCTCTGATTTGGGGAGGTTCTGTGTGAAGGAGGTACCAGGCAGGGTTGCGCTCCACCCTGGCCTTACCTCTAATACATTCCAGATGTTCCAGCCACCACCCCTATGCTAAAACGGAAAACCAGATCTGTCCCTGCAGGAAGCCAGCAAGGTCAGTGCTCAGAGCAGCCAAAGCATGCTGTGAGGTTTAATGAAGTATGGTTTGACCTCAGCTCTCCTAGGAGCTGAGGGGGGCAGAGAGAGATGGCATCACTGGGCCATGGTCAGTCACATCACAGTCACCCTCATCAGTCAACAGAAGTTAATGATGAGTCCATATAGTCAGCCCTTTGGGGTCAGCATACTGCCCTCACTGGCTCCCTATTGTCTTAGAGGACAAAAGATGTCTTCTTAGAATGATATGCATGGCTTCCTTAGCCACTGGCCTTATGACCTTGGTCAGCAGACCCTCCTAGCACCTCTGCAGGTACCAGGTCCTGGTGTTTGTATATGCCCACTAGCTACTGGGGGGGGCCTGTCCCTCCAATTGGCCTCTTCATTGTCTTTCAGCCCTCCACACAGTAGAGTCTCAAATGAGTGTGTTCATGTCCGGTGAAATGGATGGAGAGTGTAGGATTGCCCAGAAAGGAGGTAGAAGTCTGTACGTTCCTTCTCTTCTGCATTCAGAGAACCCCAAATCAAACCAAACAGCCAAACAAGCAGATCCCTCTTCCAGTGAAGCAGCTCAGAGACCCAGCTCACGGGAGCTGGGAGTCCAGAACCCTCGGTGGCTGAGGGAGCCTGGAAGCAAGGCATCCGAGCTGTAGTTTAGGGTAGATTTGGAGATCATGGAGGAGGCCAGGGCCAGGCTCCAGTCTGCCCCCC